ATTATGTCCCCACTGGATGCAACAAATGCCTCGTTTATAATGGGTTTTAATGTTTTTGTCTCGTTGCTCCGGCCGGATAGGGCATCACAATATGATAAGGAGCGTAACATTTCCGTCACACGCTTGAGGAATTCGGCCAATCACATCGCACTGGATAGCTGGCCAATCAGAGCACACCTCGCTTGTTCAGACCGATGAGCTTTGCACAAATCGACGCGTTTTTTACCTTAAACCGCATAAACACATTTCATTACACCAAATACACAAAATAATGTTTTTTGTAGCAACATCATATGACCCCTTTTAAAGCTTTAGTAATTTTGTTATTTTTATTAGTTTTTTTTTAATGAGTCTATATAGTTTTAGTCAGTTTTAGTTTATTTAGTTCTAGTTATTTTAGTAAAAACAAAAATTAAAATGAGAATTGTTGCCTTGGCAAGTAGCTGAAATGAAAAACATTTAAGTAATAAAATTACTACAATGAAAATCGAAATAAATTAAAGCAAAACAGAAATATTTAAAAACAAAAAAACTAATAAAATGACAAAAGGGCAAAGTTACTAAAATTAATTTGAAAACATACAAAAAAACATTTAAAATAAATGCTATGATAGCATATACAAAAAGGCTTTTATACTTTATTTCAGGCAATCTTTGTTTTATTTTTTTATGGTTTTAGTTTTAATTTTAGCTAATGATAATAACCCTGAAGACTGGAATAAACTATGGAATGTAGGTCATGTGACTCTTACTGTACTTTTGTCGGACTGTATTTTGACTTCTGTTGCTTTTTTAATATTTATCTATTAAACGATGTCTTTCTCTTTTCTGCACTTCATTTATGTTCTAGCTTATGTACGAATCTTGCTATAAACTTTCCATTGTGTATTATAAATATTGGCTTCTATGACAAAATTCTTGTGATTTTTAAGTCGCTTTCAAAAAAATGTGTCTGCTTAATGACAAAATGTCCTTGCTTGCTTGACTTTTCACAACTGTTTCTTGTTTCACTCCTTATTACTTTTGTTTAGAGAAGTTAATTTATAAATCAATGTTTACATAGTCAGAATATGACAAATATTAATCTAAATTTTAATGTGCATAGAAATGTGGTCAATATTCAATGTTCTGCAATAAAAACGATGACAATGTAATATTTGAAGTTGCCTTTGACTTGCTACTCACCTCTGAATATGTAGGGTTTTCAAATGTTGTGCTTGGCTTCAGTTTTCTTTTAAAGAAACTCCATTTGGACTCCTGCAAAAAAAAAAAAAAAAAATTATATCTATATATATATATGTATATACAGTATATATAAATAAAATAAAAAAATTAAATAAAATACAACATGGTCACATGATGGAGAAACCACAGGAAATAATGGCTAAACTGTGGACAATTGTTCAGATGCTCCCACCTGTGTGGTCGTTTGCTCTGCAGCTCCGCTCTTCACCTCCACTGCCTGTTCATGAGCGGTATATGTAGGGTTTGAGAAGTTATTCTCCACCTGGTCATCGCTGATGTTCACAGTGACCTGTATGAAGCACAGAAACTCAACACAAGACCCACTCAGGTCGAAAAGGTTTGATTTATACTGTAAGCAGTGTCGAGAGGGTTTCTAGAAGCAAGTATACCTGTGTAGCGTGTATTACTGCCGGATCGCTGGCTGAGCCGGCTGCAGTCGAGTACAGAGGATTCTCAAATGTGACTGGCTGCCTACCAGAGTCTGCGAAATTCTCATCCTAATAAAGAAAAACAGAGAATTCGGATCAGACACAAAGAAAATGTCTTACATAAATATTTTCAGTAGCTGTTATTTATCAATGCTATAGCCCACAGCTAGCTATAGACCGATATCAGCCACATCAATTAAATCGGTCAATATTTTGGGCACTTAAATCTGAGATTATCAGCAGATAACCATGCTCACTTGGTAATAAACAGAAGCCGTCTGCTGTTCAAAAGATTTTGTAATGTTTCTGAATGTCTCTTTTGTGTGTATTTGATCAAAAATACAGTAAACACAGTAATATTGTAAAATATGATAACAGTTTGAAGTAACCATTTTCTTTTTGAATATCTTTTTAAATGTAATTTATTCCTGTGATCAAAGCTGAATTTTCAGCATCATTACTCCAGTCTTCAGTGTCACGTTATCCTTCAGAATCATTCTAATAAGCTGATTTGCTGCTCAAGACACTTTTCTTATTATTATAAATGTTGAAAACAGAAAGTTCAAAAAAGAGCGTTTATTTGAAATATAAATCTTTTGTAACTATAAATCTCTTTACTGTCATTTTTGATCAATTTAATGCATCCTTGGTGAACAGAAGCATTCATTTCTTTGTAAAAGATGTTCTTTCATGTTCTTTATAAAAAAAAACACTTACTGACCCCAAATTTTGCAAAAGAGCCTACCCTATCATTTCCATTAACATTAAATCAATTATCACTGATTTAATTACCGTCATTTTCTCATTTGATCGGTCGATGACTACTTTTAACAGAATAGCCTAAATCAAATAGCCTAAAGTTTTCATTGTGATTAATGATACAGCAGAATCCTATTAGAAACTAGTGCACTTATAAGTCATGGAAATGATAACATTAACACTGGGGTCAAAAGGTCAACCAGGGATTTAACGCCTCATAGATAAGTCAAGAAAAATGTGCTGAGTGCACTTAACGATCCAGGAGTCATAAGCTACTGATAAATCAGCACAAAAGAGCACATTTACCAGCTGCATGGCCCTGTCGATGAACGACACTCCCAGAGTCTGAGGCTCCAGGTCCATCGTGACATTGTCACCTGAATGAAACGACACTCCATTTCCTGTGTCTGCCGACTTCACCAGGCTGCTCAGACTAAGAGAAACAGAAAAACAGTGGAGAAAAAAAATTGGTACATGAAAATTACACCAACTCAAACACTGCTTTTGCTGATCAGAGACACAAAAGCGTCTTAATGCTCTCTTTGATCTAATCTAATGACATGGAAACTTCACAGAGAAATAAAAAGCAGATTAAATCCATCGCAATATTGAAGATGTTGCTTAATTGCAAATATGACACGAATATTCAATATAACAGAGCCTATGCAGTAAGTTAACTTTAGTAGGCAGCAACCTACACATTTTTAACTAGATGTTGTTACAAAATATTTCTATTTCAAATAAATGCTTTTGAACTTTCTATTCATCAAAGATTTCTGAAAAAAATGCATTACACTTTCCACGAAAATATTAAGCGGCTAAGTGTTTTCAAAATTGATAATATTAATGTTTCATGAGCAGCAAATCAGCATATAAGAATTATTTCTGAAGGATCATGTGACACTGAAGACTGGAGTAATGATGCAATTTCAAAAACATTTAAAAACCTTAGCTAACGCAAAATTCTGAACGGTTGTGTATTTGGACACTCAAGTCATTTATTTGGCTGTGATGAGCAAAATATCAAACCAAGTGGCATTTATTTTAAGGAAATAAGCACTTTTCAAGCAACAAAATCGACAAAATAATTCATAATATTTACAATAGATATGCTGTTCATACATCCACTAAAAGCACATCAAGACCTGTTGGTTAAAGTGAAGTCATATGTTTTTAAGCGAGGCTTTATGGTTCAGCTCAACTGTAGGTAGTTGAGTGGCATGTTTGTGTTGTACCTGGGTAGTTTAGGCATTGACGGGATGAGAGAGCCGGTGCGCTTGTAGTTGAGGAAAACTCCCACAACCAGAGCTCCAGTAATCAGAATAATAACCACTGCTAAAAGGACGGTCACAGCTACACACACACACACACACACACACACAGTATGTAAGACATACGAGTGCAGTCTCACTACTCTTCATTTGAATTTAACATGCTGAACGAGCTGGTTAGAGTAACCAGAGTGGATAAATAACAGCATCACATGTTACAACCGTGAATAAGAGTGTTTACTCAACACTTACAATGAAACATTTTTATAACTAATTAACAAGTAAGGGTTTGTTTACCTGTCCCTGCAGGAGCACCTCTAGACTTCCCCATTTCACAGTAACTACCCGAGTATCCGTATGAACACCTGAGGAGCAAAAACACTGACCCGTTAGAGACAATCTGACATTGACAAAACCAATTTCTCTTTTATTCTAAAAATAAATAATAATTTCATTCCATGTCCATAAAGGGGTCACAGCATGCATTTTTAAACAGTTTATTTAACTACATTTTTACCTTGTGTACATTTGTAATGTTAATAGTTTCTTTTCCAGAAATAATAATTTCGATTTTGGACCATTGCTACATGTGTTCATGCTTTCAGATGTATTTATATGTTGCTAATGTTCAGAACGAGTCATTTCAGAAGCTTAGTTCAAATAAATTGTAATTTTTTAAAATGTAATTTGAATGTAATAATAATTTTTTAAATATTTAAATGATTAAATTATTATGAGTTCATATTAAATATTGCAGCAGTCATTGATCACTAAATATCTATCTATCTATCTATCTATCTATCTATCTATCTATCTATCTATCTATCCGTACTACCATGTACATGTGGCAAGTATCACCTATATTAATATACATACTGATGCCTCCGTTAAATTGATTTTTTTTTTCAATTTCTGATGATAAAATTAGTAATTATAGCATTTTTAACATTTTATAGGCCTATACTTCATATTTATTATAATAGGTTTATATGAAGATTTAAGGTATGTACAGTATGTATAAATATATATATATATACCATTTGTATTGTTTTATTCATATATCTGACATCAGTCATTTTAATAGTCTTTTTTACATAGCCTTTTTTCTAAAAGTTCTAAAAGTTCCAGCAAGCTGTCACAGAACAATGAACACATCTTTTAAAATTTCAATGAAAATATGATTCCTCATGATATGAGCCCTTTAAATAACGGCTGTGATGCTCTACACTAGTGTTCACACTCACTTGCACTTCGGCAGGCCTCCCTCATCAGTGTAGCATGTTCCTCCGTTCATGCATCTGCATGCAAGCGGCATGGACACCTCTGCCTCAATGGCTGCAGGTGCAAGGCACGCCATGAACGAATGCAACACAGCCACAATGTAATCAAACACTCACTTTTATCTCAATGCACTGAAGTCAAAACACCACGACAATAATGAAAACACGCAGTAGTATCAGCACATGCATGTATGTTATGAAATGGACTGATGGGATGCAATGTAGCCAGTCAGCTCTTCTCACAAACTAACAGCAGTGGGCATCTGTTCATCTCTTACCGGCATCACATTCATTCTTGTTGAAAGCGAACAGCGTGGAGCCCTGTGGACAGGCACAGGTGTATCCACCTGGCCGCAGCAAACACAGGTGACTGCAGACACTCTGACAGGGGTTGAGCACTGCAAAAGAATGTGAACGGTGATTTACTATTACAGGAATTATCTTTGGCTAAAAGAAATGCGGTGAAAAGGAACTGAGGAATTGGCACTTTCATTCAGCTTAATTCACCTCAGATGTGGTTTCTACACAGTTGTTATTGTGTATAATGACAAATGCAAAACCACTATCATGACCATATAGACCTATTTAGACATATGTCATTTATTGCTAATATATATATATAATTTTTTTTTCATTTATATATATAAAATGCATAGCCATATCAATTGCAAGCCATATCAGGTATTAAATAATGTCTAACTGCAATAAATTACATTTTAAAATACATTAAAAAAGAAAACCATTCTTTTAAACTGCAAAAATATTAGCTAAATTTATATTTTTTAACTGTAGTTTTGATCAAATAAACGCAGCTTTCGTGAGCAAAAGTGACTTTTTTCAAAAACATAAAAAAAATCTTAATTATTCAGTTTTTTAGTGCCTTTATTTTTATTTTTTAATACAATATTTGAAAATGAAAATATTATATTAAAAGATAAGAAGAAAGGCACTAAAACCAGAATAATTAATATAGCATATACCAATTAAAATATTATATTAAACGATAAAAAAGAAGGCACTAAAAACCAGAATTAAGGTTCATAACTATCCATTTTATAATGTTAATTTCAAGCCTTTTTTGTAAATCAGGTATTAAATACTGACCGATTCATAATTCATACATTTTTAAAAATAATATTCCATCAAAACAAATATAAAAAGGGGAAATAAATGAGATGATATGAAAATGAACTACCTTATTTGTGTAGTATTTTATTCAATGAATTATCCAAATATAGGCTTTAACACAACAATGTTTTCACTAAATTGAACTAAATAACTATATTGTGATATACTGTCAGTGTGACATAAAACTATTCATACTAGAATATAATATGTGACCCTGGACCACAAAACCAGTCTTAATTCCCAAACTTATCTTTTTTCCACACTTCTCCCTTCTCTTTAGTCGTCCAGTACACGTGTCCCTCGAACACATCCAGACTGTAGGGGTGACCGATGTCTGCAATAACAACACACGTGAGAACACTGGCCAGTCAAAAGCAGTTTTGGGATGCATTGCTCCGATGTCTCACCTCCTGATATGATGACTTGCCGGTCTGTTCCGTCCACTTTCATCGATTCAATGATGTTTTCTTTTGAGTCACACCAGTAGATGCGGTTTTCATTCAGGTAGTCCAAAGCTAAACCAGTAGGCCAGCCCAGATCTTCATCTAACAGCACCTCTCTGCGCTGCCCATCCATCCACGCCGTCTCAATCTTGGGCTTTCTGCCCCAGTCGGTCCAGAACATCTTACTATAACAGATACATGCACAAAATAATGCTCATTATTGACAACAACAGTATGAGTTTTGAAGAATCGGAGTTCCCACACCGTATGATCAATGAATTTTCAATTATATTGTAAGTTGTTTTGTGATTATTAGATAAGTGCTTAAGATTTTTGTATTTTTATAAGATGTATTAATTTTATTTCCATGACTTTTCCAAGACCTAAAAATCACAATTTTAAACATTTCATGACCATGCCATCCCTCGAGGCTGTTTACTATATTTTAATCCCAAAATACAGTAAATATATAGTTTAATATACAGTATTTTAATCCCAAATGAGCAGTTATATATTCATATTCTTACCCTAGACTAGGATTGACCACAATAGCGGCTGGCTGATCAAGATCGCTGTGAATTAACCACTTTCTGTAACGTCCATCCAGTTTTGCCACTTCGATTCTATTAGTGCCAGCATCTGTCCAGTAAATATGGCTAATGGAAAAGACAAAACACATAGCAGAAGGACTTTTTATTTCTCTGGAGCTGTCCCAGTAACCAGTTAGACAATCTGCATCAGAGCTCAAGTACAGTAACGTTTAGAGAAGTATTTCACGTACCCTCCAATCCAGTCCACAGCGATGCCGTCAGGGCTGGAGATGTATCTGAGGTTCAGGTCCACCTCCTTTACAGGATTATTTCCATGGTCATCAAACGTGGTCATGTAGGCCCTCTTAATCGCACCGAACTCTGAGCCTCGTCCCAACACTGTCCAGTACACTATACCTGAAAAATCATTTTCAGAAATGTCAAATTATGCTTCAGTTTTAATACATAACCTGATTACAGAAACACAATAATACAACACTGCAACAGTGATCATGTTTTCAGGAACTTTGGTTGGTTTGGCAGGAATTTCAAAACATACTTCAGTAAAGAGTTCAAGTCACAAACCAAACCAACCAGATCCGAGATGGATTTTTTTAAATTTCCAGAAACTTCTTGTTTAGCTCAGTGTTGTTATTGTTAACCTAAAACAAACAAAAAAACAAAAAATATTTTTTGTTAATTGAAATAAAATAAAATATAAATATTAGATGAAAACCTAAACGTAAATAAACATTAAAACATTTGAAATGTTGCAACTAAATGAAATAAAGTAAGTTTAAGTTGAAGTACTGAAATTACTTAAAATAAAAAATAAATAAACAAACAAACAAAAAAACTAATAGAAAAATAACAAAAATAATAAAAACGACAAAACAACTAAAACTGAATATGAAAACTAAAAATGCAAAAATAAAAGCTATTAATAATAATAGCAAAATATTAATAATAACAATAATAGTATATAAATAATACAAACATTTCTCTATGCTGTGTTATTATTTTTTAACTAAAAATTATTTTCATTAAATGAAGCTGAAAGCTGAAATCAAATCAAATACAAATATTAGAAGGAAACTTAACCTTAAAACCTAAATGAAAATTTGAAAATAAAAATAAAATGCTGCTTAAGTTGAAGTACTAAAGTACTTGAGTAAAATAAGTTTAAGTTGAAGTAATAAAATTACTAAAACCAAAACAAATAAAAATAAATTAAAGCTAAATAGAAAATAAAATAATAATGATAAAAGGAGATAAAGTTATTAAAATGAAAATTACAATGAAAACTGATATAAAAAAATGATGTAAAATATAAAAATAAAGGCTAATTCAAAACATGAATAAGTACTACAATAGTATATAAATAATACCAAAATAACCATAGTTCTGCTCTATTGTGCTGTAAATTGTGCTTCCCTGTGCTACATCTGCCTGAAACATTAAACATATATGTCATAATAGATGGGATATCCCGTGAATATTGTCTTACTTAGACCGAGGCCTTCTGGGTCCCACAGGTAGTCCAGTGCCTGAATGTGCTCTGCATTATCCACATAATCTGAGTACTGCGCCGATGAGAGATTAAATCGACGGATCCGCACGTTATCAGGCAATAACAAGACGGGAGGATTTCCTGAGAAAAAAACACACAGAGAGCAAAAGAAACAACAGAAGAGTGAAAAAGACACTTTCCCGTTAACACGTTAAATTGTGACGTTATTAAAGCCTAGTGACTTGAATTGCTGCCTACATTTGTAGCTACAGGTGAGTTCATATTTACCATTGTTTGTTGAATTATCACAGGCAAAAATCCAGTCATTTACACAATCAGAAATATTGCACGAGGGTAAAAGATTTCCCCATTTAGGTTTGACCAACGCAAAGCTGCTTGGTTTGAAAGTGACTTCTGTATGAGCATAAATATGTATCAAATTAATAGAGCATTCACATTTAGCATTAGCAGGTTGCTAAGCTAAGACCTCGCTACTAAAAAAAAAAAAACATAAAAAGTTGCATTTTATTGCATTATATCTGATATCTTTTATAACTAAAAATAGGAAAGTATACTTTCAGTCTACTTTTTATGTACTTCTCAGAAATGTGCTTTATGTACTTAGAATGACATTTAGGTATACTTGACTTATACTTAGAAAAATTTGAGCTATACTTGTGCTCCAGGAATCCATGGTTTCATTGTTAAATGGTAGGGGGTGCTATTACACATCTTCTGTACAGAATATCCAAAACACAAGCGAAGAAGGAACCGAAACAACAGATGCTTCCGCATGTAATCTAACACGATCAGACATAAAACAGCATCAAAACTGTGTAATGTTATGGAATAAAATGTCAACCCATGAAGAGGTAATGACTGTCAAGCTTTGGGGTGTTGATTGACTCCATCTATGTTTTGATTATCATTCAGAATCCAATTTATAGTCTTTTTTCAGCTTTTTGTTCAAAATGTTGTTTATTTCTTTTTTTTTTTTTTTATGAAACTTACCCACATTCAAGTGTTTATAAAAAAGAATGCATGAAGCTAGAATAAAATGTTTTTGTTTACAAGCAGATACCCTGTTCTTTCTTTTGATGTTTTGTATATTCAGATATTCATATAACAAAATATATACAAATTAATACCTAAATAGGGACAAAGTAGTGTATGATGTAAAGTTCCCTTAAACTTACGAGTATACTTGCAGTATAAAACTACTAAACTAATAGTTTACTGAGACTATACTTTAAAGTGTACTAAAAATGCTACAAGTGTTTAATTAGTGAACTATCAGTATACCTATTATTGAAATAGTACACTTACAAGTATACTACTAGTACACTGATATTTGTATACTTACTACATAAAGTTTACTTAAAAATATACTAGAACTTTAAAAATAAACTTGAAGTATACTTCTTTTTGGTAAGGGATGCCATTCAAATTATATTAGAAAATGAAAGTTTACAACGTTAAACAAATATTGGATAAAATAGTCAATTTTCAGTCAATTTTTGAAATGCTTTGTAATACATTTGATGGCAAACAATTTTTTTCAGTCATTCTGATTTTTTTATACTCAGCACTGAATAAATTATATTTAAAATAAAATATTTATATTTGTAATTAACGTTTCTCTCGTCTTTTTTTTCCCAGTTGAGCTTGCCGCAGTGCATTATGGGATTGCCTTCTCCCTGAAGGACACATGCAACGCTGCTTGAATCTGGCCTAAAGACGATATCTTAAAATGCAGGAAAATTATAGTGTAGCATTTTAGAATATTTAAAATAGAATGCTAAATATGACAACGGTAAAAGAGGCAGATATACAAGAAACAGAGAAAGAAAGAATGGTATAAAGAAAGAGCAGGAGGCTGTAAATGTTAAAAAAGAGAGAAGTAATAAACCACAGGCCTCACCCTCAGCAGCGCATTCGACTCCCAGCTGCTCTCCCACTGATCGAAACCCTTCAGCGCAGAAACATTCATAACTGCCCTTAGTGTTCCTGCACAGCTGTGGACACGTCCCGTAAATCTCACACTCGTTCACATCTGCAGATGAGCAGAAAACACCTCACATTATACATACAGGAAGCATTTCAATTCATAACGCTGTGGTAACATTATACAAGAACACACTTGTGTTGCTTTCATGCAGACAGAAAAGTGTCCATGCAAAGGACGGAATAAAAGACAAATATATCACTAGTTTTCTGTAGAGCTGGTTTATAGCTGAAACAAATTTGTTTCATGATTGAGGAATTTTCCAACATCGACACTGTCAGTGAACTGAATTGAATCCAGGGTTATTATAGTCAACTTAAACTAAAATGAAAACTAAAACCATACAAAAACATTCTCGTTACTTGAAATAAAACAAATGTTTACTGGAATAAAATAAAATACAAAAAACTAAACTTTAAAAAAAATTATTTCAGTTAGTTGTCGCAATATTTTTAATTTTAATTTAGTTTAAATTGATGTACTAAAATAACTAAATGTATATATATATATATACACACTACATAATTTATTATTATTATTAAAAATAAACAATAAAAATGACAACCCCCCCAAAAAAAATCTTTAACTCAAGTGAACATTAAAATGGAAAATACAAAAAATAAAAACTAATTCAACATATTAATATAAACTATAATAGTATGTCAGTTATATTAAAATAATACTGAACTGACTTGAGCTAAATAATGGTACTATTGTATCTGTAGAGCTGCTTATAGCTAAATTTATTTTTTTACATAATTGTTGAACTTTGAAACATTGACACTGTTTTTGAACTAATCGGAGCTAAATAATGATAACTGCCTTCTGTAGTGATCTTTACAGCTAAAATTAAAGTCTTTTTATTATTGCTGAATTTTGCAAGTGTTATTTTCCTGTTTATTTCAGTGAAGCTGCTTTGAAACAATCTGTATTTTATAAAGCGCTTTATAGATAAATGTGGCTTGACTTGGGTTTGAAGATCAGTCGCTGGAGCCCCTACAGGAGTGCCTGTTGTCCTGATTGGCTTCCGGAGTGCCACTATAAGCCCGTTTTACTGTAAATATTGAGGTCTTCTAATAAAGAAAGTATTCAGATGATTCACAAACCATCGCAGGTGTTCTTGTCCTCCGGGTTGGGTTTATATCCAGTTCTACAGGAGCAAATAAAGCCCCCAGTCGACAAATCCGTGCAGTTATGCTCACACAGATTCTCACTGCATGTGCGCCCATGGCCATAGTCTAACAGAGACAGACGAAGAAATGTTACAAAGACGTGCAGGAAAACAGGATCTAAGCTTTTTGTCCTTGTTTGAGCTTCATCCACTTTTGTTCATGCAAGAAAGAAAATAATAAACAACGTGTGGGTGAGTGAATGAACAAAACTCACAGCAGCCGAGTTCATCGGTCTGGTCTTCACAGTCGTCATAGTCGTCGCAGGCGTACTGCAGAGGAATGCACTGACCGTTCCCACATTTATACTCGTCTGCAGAGCAGGGCCCATGTGTGGGAGTCACACCTGAGGAACCATTCACACAAAACAGGGTGCTTTACTAGTTTCAATAGAATTTAGGGAATTTAAAAGGTATAATTAGGTAAATACTACATATGGTTAACAATCTATTAACTGTTCCTCACAATGCTCCGGCCTCTCGTCGGTTCCATCACCGCAGTCATCTATAGAGTTGCAGAGCTCGTGACTGTAGATGCAGCGGGTGTTATCACAGCGGAAACGGAACGGAGGATCACATGAGATGTCCACTGAGGAGACAAGAAACATGATGTTTGTGCACTTTGTTCCACATCTAAAATGCCAAAAGTTGGATTTTACTAGGTTATTTAGCTGATGTATATTATACAAATTATATTAGAAAAAGAAGGTTTACAAAGATGATGATTTAGACAATATGATTTAGATAATACAAGATGTATATAATGATGTGTAGATTGATAAATTGATAGATCTTAAATTAGAGCTTTTCTCTAAATGTTTTGCCCAGTGGTTTACTTAATTATCCCAACCTGGCAACCATGCACATGTGCTCTCTCTACATTATATATATAAGTAAGTGTAAGTGACGTGACATGTGGCCAAGTATGGTGGTGACCCATACTTGGAATTAGTGCTCTGCATTTAACCCATCCAAAATGCACACACACAGCAGTGAACACACACACACACACACCGTGAACACACACCCGGAGCAGTGGGCAGCCATTTATGCTGCGGCGCCCGGGGAGCAGTTGAGGGTTCGGTGCCTTGCTCAAGGGCACCTCAGTCGTGGTATTGAAGGTGGGAGAGAGCGCTGTACATTCACTCCCCCCACCTACAATCCCTGCCGGTACGAGACTTGAACCCGCAACCTTTGGGTTACGAGTCCGACTCTCTAACCATTAGGCCACGACTTCCCCAATATATACCGCTGATGAGCTGAAAACACCGGCAAACATTTAAGTTGGAGCTGAGCAACTGAGATATTCTGCTCAAATAAAAGTGTAATACAACCAGACTGTTTACTTTCAGTCATTTGTGCTGTTTTCTGTGACCAAATCTGCGAGTTGATCAGGGTTGCCAGGTCCGTGCAACAAAACCTGCCCAACTGATAATGTAGCATTCTATTTCTCACAGGGGTGAGAGGAGGATTGTTTAACATGTAGACTAAAAAACAACCCACCGCAACAGTGTAAAAAATTTCACAGGAAAACCGCACACTTGGCAACACTGGAGTTGATGTTCTCTTGATTTGTGCTTATATGAAAGTGCAATAATTCTAACGAAATGTTAAAAAAATTAAATTAAATTAAATTACAATAATTATTATTATATCTCTGAGCAATATTTAAACCATTTAAACCAGTGGTCGCCAACCCGTCGATCACGATCGTAGATCTTTATCACTGTCCCAGTAGATCACGAAAAAAAAAAGTAAAATAAGTACAAAAATGCATTACATTTATGGGGTTATATTAATGTATCACTGAAGGGAACTGTCTTGAGAAAAGTTTCGATGGCAATGGCATTTTCTTCTCCGTATAAAGTGCATCTCTGCTTTGTTTACAGTGGTAAACAAGGAAACGCTATATTGCGAATAGAGCAAATAGCCAATAAATAAATTTGCTTAAAAATCAGTATCAGTATCAGAATCCAATTTGCTAGTAAAAAAAAAAAAAAAGAAAGAAAGAAAAGAAAATCTGAATTCTGAATCGGCTATGATCGGCGCATCACTAATTAAAATACTAAGTAAAAGGCCTCAAATTTGAAGTACAATCTTGGATGTCTTTTTCTATCAATTCTTCAATAGGTAGATCTTGTCTTTCATAAAGGCCGAGGTCAGGGATCTTGGGCCTAAAAAGGTTGGTGACCACTGATTTAAACTATTATTATGCAGGCCAGACAGACAGACAGATAGATAGAATGATATATAGATTCTCACAGCAGAGATGCAGTTCTTCATCTGAATTATCCCCGCAGTCATTATCTCCGTCACATATCCAATGCTGCTGCACACACACGTGGTTCTTGCACTCAAACAGGAAGGGTGGACAGTAGGTGCTGTTCGGGTAGCGTGTGGCTGAAATATGCACACATACAGCTCAAAGTCAAGATAAACATAAATGGGAGGTGACTAGCATTGCATTCAACATTCAGTGACTTTGCCATTGCTAGTGCTGTGCTATACTATTTGAACTACATGAACGCTGCTCAAAATGATCCTGAGCAATTTATCGGTTTACATTTTTTATTCAAAATAAATGTTTGTCCTTATAATCCTTAATCAAAATGGAGTTTTCCAGGACAAGATGTTCCTTAAGTTTCCATGCCAGTGGATGCACAACACTTTTGGACTCTAGAGGGTGCTGCAATATAACTCACAGCTATCTTCTGGTTACATTTCAGGAGCATCTCAGAATTTAAATAGATAAAAAAAAAAAAAAAACATGGCACACTCACGACAGGAGCTTTCATCAGTGAAGTCGAGACAGTCAGCATTGCCGTCGCATTTGAAGCGCTCAGCGATGCAGTGGCCGCTACTGCACTGGAAGTAACCCGGGTGACAGGTCCGCAGCTCTGAAACACATTCATCCACAAAGAATGAAGCCAATCTCTTTCAATACACTACGGAGAATGAATTATGCACACTCCCTGTAAGTCATTCACAAGATATCCAGGCACACAATTGCACTGAGATATCACCCACTGAGGACCAATCTGTAATAAAAAGACAGTATTATGATGCTGAACATGGTGGCAAGTGCCACGGCTATCTCCATCCCTCTTTTGATGGCCTTTCCTTTCTGCCGTCTCTCTTTTTCTTTCACTCACCGCAGTCTCTCTCGTCAGAATTGTCCTCGCAGTCGTTGTCATGGTCACAAACCCAGCGGTCAGGAATGCAGTGCAGGTTGTCACAGCGGTACTCGCTCTCTGTGCATGGACGAGGGGCTGCGGATGCATAAGAAGCGTGTCAATCAGACACACATGAACATACATACAAAGCAAATAAAGCAATAAGCCCAAAGAGGCTCTGACACTGTGATTTCACCACAAGTGAGGGGTGTTAGTTCCATAACAATGAAAACTTGCTGAAAATTCACTCACACTCAGGCCATTCAAGATGTAGATGAGTTTGTTTCTTCATCAGAACAGATTTGGAGAAATGTAGCATTACATCACTTGCTCACCAATGAATCCTCTGCAGTGAATGGGTGCCGTCAGAATGAGAGTCCAAACAGCTGATAAAAACATCACAATAATCCACACCACTCCAGTCCATCAGTTAATGTCTTGTGAAGTGTTTTTAAAGAAAAAAATTCATCATTAAGAGGTTTTTAACTTTAAATGGCTGCTTCTGATCAAAATGAGTCCATAATCCATAATAACGCTTCCTCCAGTGAAAAAGTCCATCCCCTGTTGCCCTCTAACATCAAAATCCACCGTTCTGGACTGTTCTCGCTTGTAAACGGAGCTTGATCTGTGCATATTTTTCTTCTGACTCAGACAAGATGGCTTTTATACTGAAAGAGCCAATATTACGTATAGAGGACTCGGTTTGAAGTTAAAAATGTCTTAATGATGGATTTGTTTATTATAACCACACAGTTTTTCTCTTCACAAGACATTAACTGATGAACTGGAGCAGTGTGGATTACTTGTGGATTATTGTGATGTTTTTATCAGCTGTCTGGACTCTCATTCTGACGGCACCCATTCACTGCAGAGGATCCATTGGTGAGCAAGTGATGCAATGCTACATTTCTCCGAATCTGTTCTGATGAAGAAACAAACTCATCTACATCTTGGATGGCCTAAGGGTGAGGAAATGTTCAGCAAATCTTCATTTTACAAATGCATTGAACATTCAATACAATTATGCACACTTTATTTTCACACAGACAGGCTGGTCCTTTTGCTGGTTTTAAAGTGGTTTTGGGCAGTGTTTTTTTCTGGTGACGATGGGAAAACAGCAAGCTGGCTAGCTTAATAAGGTAAAATCAGTTTAGCCGGGCTGGAAGACCAGATTAAACCAGCTAAGACTAGCAAACAAGTTTTTGCTAGCTGTTTTTTTCAGCAAGGATGTGGCGCAATGTCCAAAGATGTGCATCTGTCACTTGTCTGCATTAGCCAACAACTAAAAAAATAGCATAATCAGAATGCATAAATACATCTTGTGAACAGAGGTGCTTCACGCAGTGTTTATAAAGCCAAAATGCAACCGACACACCACCTGAACAGTTTCAGTAAAACAAAAAAAAGCCTCTGACACAGATGAGGGGGGTGATTATGTGTCACAGAACTGGAGGTTTATCTGATGAGATGCAGCTTGCTCTTTAAGGCTGTTTTTGGGAGGTGAGTTCATAGCTGAATTCATCAGGGGAGTGACCCGCGTTCACCACCCCTACAGCTCTTCTGCAGGGAGGAGAAAGTGCTGAAAAATCAGCAATTCTTTCAACATGCAGCTCAGAGGTTCAGCGCAGACCATTTGTCAACCTTTCACACCTCACTGCACCTTGTCTTCCATCACATCATCTCCTCCACTATTTTGGGTGAACTATCACTTTAAATCAATATTCACAGAATTTCTTGCCCTGTATGCATGTCAACGTTAAACCACAAGCACTAAATGCACCATATCTGATTTGAGAGCTACATGAAAGTTAAATGGACAATTTATGATATTTATATGGAGTTTAATTGCATTTTTGAAGCTTGACAGCCCAAGTCCTCATTCACTTTCATTAAATGGATATCCAGGATATCATTCTCAAATTCTTTCAGATCAAAGAAACAGATCAAATTCTTAATAAAATCCAATTTGTATGACTGAACCACACAAGGGGGAGTAAATAATGACTTTTAGTGAACTCTCTCTCTTGCTTCTTGCACTTTTTATATTGAACTGACTGAACCTGAGAGGTCAGACTGCTGCTACTCACTGCAGTTGTGTTCGTCAGATCCGTCGCCGCAGTCATTGTCTCCGTCGCAGCGCCAGCGCAGGGGGATGCACTGGTGGTTATCACAGCGGAAATCACCCGCCGGCTCACAGGTCAACTCCTCTGCAAACACAATACACAACACAAAAGCTAACATTAAACAAAAAAATGTTAGCATTTTGTTCAGAAAAAGAAGCACCTTTTCAAAGGGAAAACTAGTTTCCGTTTCCTATTGGCAGATATTTGTTCTTGTTTCAAGTATAAACATACTTAATTTTGTTAAATTTCTCATAACTTCATATCCTTTTGCATCTCAAGTATGAATCTTGATTTAAAGATGTTTAGGTATTTGTACTGGAAAAAAAGGAAGATATTCATTTTTTGCAGTGCATGCCACTTTTAATGCTACTTCATCAATTTCATCAGCACTACTTTATGAATTTAAAACGTTCTGCTCTGATTTAAGACCTTTTTAAGGCCTTAATTTGTGAAAGGGAGAATTAAGACTTTTTAAGACCTGCAGAAACCCTACATGAAGAATGCAGAGTTAAAAAACAGACAAGAAGAGAAGAAAAACAAGAGAACTTAAAAAGAGAGGAGATGAGGAGAGGTGAGATGAGATGAGATGAGAAAATGGGAAGAGAGGAGAAAAGGTGAGATATAATAATTTAATTAATTTATAATAATTTATGCATTTAGCAGACGCTTTTATCCAAAGCGAAATGAGACAAGAGGACAAGTTAAGAGGGAGGAGAAAATGAGAGGATAGGAGGTAATGAGGCAGAAAATATGCACATTACGGTGGACAGAGGAAAGGAAGGAAGAGGAGGAGATGAACAAACACACTCAGCAGTGCCCCACCTGATGCGGGCAGCACATTCTTACAGTCAGATTAGGGCGATCTCTCCTCTCTCTCCTCTCTGTGCAGGATGGCACTAATGGTGCGAGAGGGAGCTGATAAGACCTGGGAGAACCGGGGCTACGTGTGTGTGTGTGTGTGTGAATGTACATCGGTCAGATTACTGACAACAGACCAGTAAAATTAGAGTAAAAACCTCTCAATCCTTCCTGAAACAATAATCACAGCTGCTCACACACTGGTGCCTGACACAGACATACCCAACATGCACATGAATCAGTGGTGTGACCCCAGACAGGAGGAAGGGTCACCGAGGGCCCGTCCATCACAGACAGACTGAACTAACACTCACTAATGTAGCTCTGGAGTGTGAGAGGACCAATAACTCCTCATGATTTCAATCCATCATGACAAACACACAACATCACTGACACTACAACACTACAGACTCATCTTACTGAATTTGACTGAAATTTAAAGGTGATGTGGGAAGCTTTTCAATCATTGAATGTGATTTTAGTTATTTTAGGCATTTTTGGTTGAAGTCAGCATGAAATGGAAACTCCGTCCAACGTTTTGGTGTTTTTCTGAGTGAAACGGCTTATCAAACAAGAAAAAAACGTAGGATGGGACTTGATTCTATCGGTTGTTGATTGGATTTTAAAAAGTGAGCATTGCATAGGCCTATATTTAATTCTTAATAAAAAAAAGACAATTTAAAAAACTCCCAATTTCCTAACCAATTTTACAATTTGTTTTAAACATGTTTTTTTATGTTAATATACAAAAAACTAAAAGCCGGATAAGGCAAAAATAGATTTTTAGCAAATGGATCACTATAATGATATACCCTTTTTTAATTAATAATTCTTTTTCTAATCATTTTTACTTTTTCATTTTTAATTTATTTAATATTATTAATTCTAATATTACTTTACTATTTTTATGATACACTGAGTCATGTTTTGAATAATAATGCTGCAAATCATTTTAACATTTTTTATTTTATATTTTAATTTATATTTACATTTATACATTTAGTAGACGCTTTTATCCAAAGCAATTCATCTCAGAACCATCAATATTCATAATATATAATGCCAGGTTTATTAGAAAGCTAGATTAAATTGGATTGAAATAATTTTAATATCTACAATTAATATTTAATATCTGTTTCTGAATAAAAATGGTCACACAGAGTCATTTTTGTTGAATCAATTTTTGTATAGTAATTTTAATTTTTTTCATCATTCTAATATTAGTACTTTTACTATTACTTTACTATTTTATTAATAAATATCTACATTTTTTAGTTGTAAGCAAGCACTGCTAACGCTGAATCGTGTTTTCAGTCATGTAATACATTTTTTATAATTTTATAGTAATTTTTAATGTTTAAATATGATTTATTAATAATTTTAACATTACTACCTTTACTATTACTTTACTATTTTATTAATAAATATATACATTTTATACATAAAAATCTATACATGATATATATCATGATATATTGATGTCTCACCACAGTTCTGTTCGTCGCTGTTGTCCCTGCAGTCGTTGTGTCCGTTGCACACGGCCCACAGAGGAACACAGCGGTAGTTTGTCCTGCAGTCAAACTCTGTGTGATTGTCACATCTGTACGCCGGACCCACTGCAAACCACATTACACAGATGACTAACAACAACAAAAAAGACTGAGAAAAGAGATTTAATTTCACTTCATACTGCATACCTTTTTCTTCCTCTAATTTCAACTAATTAAACAACAACACAAATGCATTATAATGCTGTAATGAGTCAGCAGCTCACTGCATTCGTTGATGGGCTCGTCGGAGTTGTCGCCACAGTCGTCGTCCACGTCACATTTCCAGCTCTGCGGGATGCATCGGCCGTTCCTGCACTTGAACTGTCCGGGTCTGCAGGTCCTGCTGGAGCAGTGAGCGGGATCCTCGTCGGATCCGTCGCCGCAGTCGTTCTCGCCGTCGCACTGCCAGGCCCCAGAGATGCAGCGCTTATTGGCACACTGCCACTGATGAGACTCACACTGATGGGTGGCTGATGTACAGAAAGAGAGGAAGATGCATTTCTGAACACAAGACAGCAACAGCCCAATCAAAAGCAAATGTCAGAATGGCAGTGTTTTTCAAGTTTTTCAAAAAAAATCGTTGTTACTTGAAATAAAATTAACGTTTATTGAAATAAAATAAAATATAAAAACTTTTTTATTTCAGCTAGTTGCCAAGGTGATGTTTGGTTTAACGTGATGTACTAAAATAACTAAAACTAAAACTTACACACACACACACACACACACACACACACATATATATATATATATATATATATGAACTTCTAAAAATGACAAAAACACACAACCAATTTACTAAAACTTTAAAATGAAAATGACAATGGAAAATATAAAAATACTGAAAAAAAACTAAAACTGATTCAAAATGTTAATAAAAACTATAAAAGTATCTCAATGATACTAAAATAATTATTCAAAATAGCACTGTTATTGTTAACTAAAATTAAAAGTAAAACTAATAAAAATATTTTTTGTTAGTTGAAATAAAGTTGAAATAAAAATGTTTTGATTTTTAAGCACATACTAAATGTTTTGAAATTAAATAAAATTAAATATAAATATTACATGGAAAAACTAAAATGAAAATTATGAATGCATGCTGCCTTGGCAACTAACTGAAATAAGTTGAAGTTGAAGTACTAAAATTTCTAAAACTAAAGCTGAAATAAAAATAAATTAAATTAGTATACAAATATAAAAAAAAAATGACAGAACATAACAAAGTAACTAAAACTAAAATTAAATTAAAATGAAAAAAATAAAATAAAATTAATATAAAACTGAAAATACAAAATAAAAGCTTAATTCAAAAAATGTATAAATACTATAGTGGTATATAAATAATTTCAAACATTGAATACATTTCTGTGTTTGATTTTTAAGGAAATATAACATTTTTGAAAACATTTAAAATATAAACATTACATGAAAAACAACTAACTGAAAAAAATATTGACTAAAAATACATTTCAAAAGCACATTTATAAAAGAAAAATAAATACAAAAAAAATACAAGCTAAATCAAAATATTTATAAATACTATAATAGTACATAATACTAAAATAACACTCAAGATTGATCACAAAAATCTCTGAATGTTGTTTCTTCATATGATACAATGTTTTAGTAAAAATGTATGTAGCAAAAACTGCTGTTTATTACTAGATTTTATTATGGGGTTCAAACCTACAACCTTTAAGCTTCATGGCCAGATTTTTAACTACTGGGCCACATCACCGGCATCACTGCAGACGCTGATATTAGTTTTTCCATACCACACAGCACCGTGTCTTCATCCGACCCATCGGGACAGTCCTGATTAGAGTTGCACAGGAAGTGTGGGCTGCTGCAGTTTCCGTCATTACACTGGAACTGGCCCAGTCTGCAGTGCCGGAGGGGACACGTGGAGGGTTCATCCGAATCGTCTCTGCAGTCTCGCTGACCATCACACTTCCACCAGATAGGGATACAGCTGTAAGAAAAGACAAATAAAAGGTACCATTTCAGTTAGGCTGCTTGCTTAGAAGGCAGCTGTCTATGTAGGCACTACAGCAAGGCAGCTCACTAGGCTTTTGGAACAGAGCCTGACTCAAGAAGCGTGTGCATGGAGACACTAACCGTTCGTTGTCTGCGCATCTGTACTGCGTGCTGGAGCACATGGGCAGACAGCGTGCAGCGCCCCCTATCTGCACAGTAAGGAAGTGATCAGGACACTCGCAGGTGTGACCCTGACCTCCAGCTTGCAGGAGGCAAAGGTGAGAACAGCCGCCGTTATTGACCGCGCAGGGATTCGTCACTACAGGAGAAAGATATAGTGTGAGTGAGACTATACCAGTGGCTCACAAACAAAAAAAGAGTTTCAGGTCTATCCTGAATCATGGAAAAATGCAACTAACCATATCATAACCGTAACCATAAAAGTAATAGACAATGACTGTAAGAATATTATGAACATTTCTTTAAAGTTCAAACATTGAGTGCATTTCAGTTTTTGATATCCTTTAATGTTTGCAATAAAAAAAATCTTAATTTATACTTATACTTAATTTTAAGATGGTTCTATATTGTTCTATATTATATCTATATTAATCTAAATGTATTCAATGTTTTTCTAACAATTATTACCTATTATTAGTATAAAAAGTCCTTAGAATAAAAATAAAAACAAAAATAAGAATAATAGATAAACAAATGCTAAAATAAATGCAAATAATGAGTAACTAAACACATAATCATAAGAATAATTCTAAGAATTTTACAAATTAATTGTAATTTCACACATTAAATAAATTCTAGTGTTTGATTTAATTTTGTATGAATAATAGAGAATACAAATAAGAATATTATAAACAAATATTTATTGTAATTCCAAACAATGTATACATTTAATTGTTTGATTTTAAGAACATTTTATTTACTTATTTATGAATAATAGAGAATAATAATTCTAAGAGTATTATAAATGAATATTTATTTTAATTTCAAACACTGGAAACATTTCAGTGTTTGGCTTTTAAGGATCAATTCAACGTTTGAGATGCATTCAATGTTTGCAGTAAAGAAAATATATTAATATAAAAAATTCTTATGATTATTTTCTATTATTTGTACAAAAGTAAATAAAAATGGCCTTAAAATTGAGCACTAAATTTGACTTAATGTTTGAATTGTTTGCAATGTTTGCAATAAAATAACATTATTTAAAATAATAATAAAATATTTATAATTTATCTCATGATCACCCCTATTATTCAACACTTTTGTATGTAAACATGCCCTTAGAATCAAAAATAAAAACACAATAAGAATAATAAATAAACAAATGATAAAATAAATGCAAATAATAATTAACTAAGCTTATAATCATAGGATTAATTGTAAGAATATTATAAATTTATTTGTGACCCTGGACCACAAAAGCAGTCTTAAGTCGCTGGGGTATATTTCTAGCAATAGCCAAAAAAAAACATTGTATGGGTCAAAATTATTGATTTTTCTTTTATGCCAAAAATCATTAGAATATCAAGTAAAGATCATGTTCCATGAAAATTTTTTGTAAATTTCCTCCTGTAAATATATTAAAACTTAATTTTTGATTAGTAATATGCATTGCTAAGAACTTCATTTGGACAACTTTAAAGGCGATTTTTAGTTGTAAAAAATCTAATAGTTCTATCTCGGCCAAATATTGTCCTATCCTAACAAACCATACATCAATGGAAAGCTTATTTGTGCAGCTTTCAGATGATGTATAAATCTCAATTTCAAAAAATTGACCCTTATGACTGGTTTCGTCGTCCAGGGTCACATATTTATTTTAATTTCAAATGTTTAATTCCAAAAACATTTTTATTTACTTTTGTACACATAATAGAGAATAATTGTAAGAAAACTATAAATGTATTTGATTTAATGTATACACCTTATTTAATATTTGAAATGAAAATACATTCCAGGACATCTTTCTTTACTTTTGTATGTGGAACTGAATTGGGTCGTCACCTGTTGCCCAAAGTACATTTTGTAGTCAGTTGAGTTCGACTATATCCTCTTACAAAAAAACAGGATGTGGCTCCACATCATGTACTGTAGGTGTAGCTCCTCTTTCTAAAGAAGGCCACAGATAAAGGGTTTAAACTACCTGTCCTGGCCATTACAGCGATGATAAAGAGTTTAGTGTTTCCTGTCTCTGAGAAAAGACAGGCGAGCAGACACTGGCGGCATTGTGTCGGACTGTGTAAATATTGGCAGAGACCCTTAAGTGCCTCAGTGGACGTTTAAAGGAAGTGATAGCGATCTGACGTGAGATAATGAGCGTCCCGCTCGGGTTACGCTGTCCTGGGCTCACCTATGGGCTGGCGGTAGGGATGGCACACGTGGATGTCAAACGGTCGGTGGGTGGTGTTGATGAGTGCTTCCCGTCCAGAGCCGTTGTATTTGTTGCCCTTCTCCACCGTGCGCGTGTTCCAGTCCGTCCAGTACACGCTTTCCTCGAACACTGTGATGGCGAAAGGATGCGGCAGGACGCCGTCGTACACAGTGTGCCTGTGATTCCCGTCCAGATCAGAGAATCTGAGGAGACAGAACCATTTGAATTATGTTTAATGTTCATTTTGTGTAAATAACAATGCAATAAAACAACCTGCATAATTAATCATGGCACAGCATCTTAAAAATGGTAAAAACAATGTTGAAAATCAGTTTGAATGATGCAGTGACCAAATCTACATTTGTGGGATTTGTCAGCAAATATTGATAAATGTGATTACTTTAATCAAATTGATAAATGAATTGACATATCATACTTAATTCATGTAATGTAAAAACGGCTAAATGCAAATAAAATGCAACTAACCATATAAACAACAAAGAATTGATAGACAATGACTGTAAGAATATTCTGAATATTTAATTAAATTTCAAAAATTTAATACATTTCAGTGCTTGATTTTAATGACATATTTAATGTGTGAAATTCATTCAGGGTTTGCAATTAAAAAATTATATTAAATCATAATATTGTAAAAAGATTATTCTCTGTTATTTGTGTGAAAGTAAAATCAAACAAAAAAGTTGTTCAATGTTTGAAATTAAAATGAATATTAATTTTTCTAACAATTATTCCTTATTATTCATACAAACGTTTTAAAAAATAAGATGAAATGCAAATAATAATGAACTAAATATATAATCATTAAAATGTAGTATAAATATTTATTTTAACTTCAAACATTGGCTACATCTCAGTGTTTGAATTTTAAGGAAACATTCAATGTTTGCAATTATAATAAATGTTAATTTATAATACCTTACAATTATTCTTTATTATTTGTACAAAAGTAAAATAAGCATGTCCTTAAAATCAAACAGTGACGTTTTTTGTCATGTTTGAAATTGCAATGAAAAACTTGCAGAATTTATAAGTTCCTTGAAACAGCATCTTAAAAATGGAGGGAAAAAATAGTTGGAAACCAGCTTGTGATGCAACGACCAAATCTTAATTTGTAGGATTTGTCAGCAAATATTGATCATTTGTGATTAATACATTTCATAATCATTTATGACATATATTTAAATTTGCGCTAATTAAATATTGACAGGATATACAGTAAAGGTGAGGTAGTCTTACTCGATGTAGTTGAGGTGAGCATCAGACCAGTACAGCTTGTCATTGGTGTAGTCAATAGTCAGACCGTTGGGCCACTCGATCTTAGTAGTGATGATGGCCGACTTGTTATTCCCATCCATCCCAACACGTCCAATGAAGGCTTTGTCTCTCCAGTCAGTCCAGTACACGTATCTGCACAAAGAGGATATTTGATATTAAACAAATAGAAGCTAAAACAATGTAAAGGTCACATACTGTACAGTGCTGTTCAAAAGTTTGGGGTCGGTAAGAGGTTTTTTTCTGTTTTACTGTCTATTCTGCTCTGCATTTATTTGATCAAAAATACAGTAAAAAGAGGAATATTGTGAAATATTATTACAAATCTAAAATAACTGTTTTCTATTTCAATATATATTAAAATATAATTTATTCCTGTGATGCAAAGCTGAATTTTCAGCATCATTACTCCAGTCTTCAGTGTCACATGATCCTTCAGAAATCATTCTAATAAGCTGATTTGCTGCTCAAGAAACATTTCTTATCATTATCACTGTTGGAAACAGTTGTGCCGCTTCATATTTTTCCTGGGATTCTTTGATGAATAGAAAGTTCAAAAGAACAGCATTTATTTGAAAAGTTCAAACTAATTTTAAATGTTTCCATGTAGTGCACACAATTGATTACATCTAAATTCACTTTTTTTGTAAGTATTATAGATTTATAATACCAAACATAACTTAAATAAAATTAAGAATAATAATAATAATTTAATAGATAATTATTAAATTATATAAATTTACATTATAATTTTTTATTTGTATATATATATATATATATATATATATACATGTAAATATTTTTATATTAAATTTTTTTTATATATATTTTATTTCAATAAAACAACTTTTATTATTAATAATAATACTAATTATTATTATTATTATATTAATTTGTGTACTTTTATTTATTCATTTCCATTTTGGCATGTCTAATTTCCCACTTCTAGCGACTGACAAATTAATTTGCGCCAAAAGTCTACAAAATTTGACTGGAATATGAGGCCTTTGATGTCAACTATGAGTTCTCCTCCTTTTTAAAAACGTTTAAGCCAATTCATGCTGCTATCCCATTCTACACATGGTTTTATAGTTGGTTATATTTCATTGTTTGCATTTACCATTGTTTTTTTCATGATCCGAACAGACCCACCAGTTGGCAACTACAAATTTATTAAAAAAGCCACAAAAGCTGTCACTGGGGCAGTACTTTAAAAAAGGTACAAACGTACCATTTTGGTACTAATATGTACCTTTTAGGTACTTATATGCACTCTTTAGGGGTAAATAAGCTACAAAAGTGTACCTTCTGAAAAGGTACCACACCAGTGACAGCTTTTGTACGTTTTTTCGGAGAGTGTATGCAGTTGACACTGCTTAGACTGTGCAGTGTGCAAATGCCCACCAACTTATGGGTCTGAAAATGACTTCCATCACTGGTAAACTCACCCAAGCTTTGGATGCAGAGCGATGGCTCTGGGATTCTCAAAGCAGTATGTGTTATTAGCATCCACACAGTGTTCTGCTAACTTCCTCACAAACCGGCCATCCAGCTCCGACACTTTCATGCAGTCGAGAAAGCTGTCGACCCAATACAGCTTCCTCCCGACCCAGTCCACCGCCAGGCCCTCGCCATGCAAAATCCCGTTTACCACCACCTCTCGTCCCGTCCCGTTAAAGAACATCCGCTCCAACACCCTTCGGCTCACGTCGATCCAGTACAAGCGTTTGTCCACCCGATCGAAGTCCAGCGCCACCACGCTGGTGAGGCCCTGCAGAATGAGCGAGTAGGCCTCGCCGTCCGTCGACAGATTGCGCAGATAGTAGCGGTTGCTAAAGATCAGGTAGGGGGTGATGTTGCTGTTTTGCCTGCAGCTGCGTCCATCGGGTTCGCGGAGGAAGCCTGGAGCACACTTGCACACGTACGAGCCCATGGTGTTCTCGCACACCTGGCTGCACACGCTGGGCCTGACGGAGCACTCGTCCTCATCGTCGCACGTTTTGTTGTCGGACATGAGGCGGAAACCATGGCGACAGGTGCAGATGAAGCTGGTGGGCGTGTCGGTGCAGTTGTGGTCGCAGTGGTGCATGGACGGGTCTGTGCACTCATTGATGCCTGAGACAACAAAACAGACAATGATTTAGAATTTCTGTGCATCTTACATTCAGGACAATTATGCATTTTGCAAAGCTGTTAATAATATATTTAATGTTATATAATATATTTAAATGTATAATACAATTTATGTGATATTTTAGTATCATTGAGATACTGTTATAGCTTTTATTTTTTTTATTTTTATATATTCTGTTTTCATTTTCATTTTAGTTACAGTTTATAGTTATCATTTTGTTGTATTTTTTGTGTTGTTTTTGTTATTTTTTTGTTTAAAAATATGTATTTTGTTTTATACTATATTAATATTTCAGTTATTTTAGTACATCAAGTTAAACTAAATGAAAACTGGGAAAATTTTTTTGCTTTTTTAATTTTATTTTATATTTAATTTATAGTCAGTTTATTTCATTTAAATTTTTTTATTTAATTCTTTTTATTTAATTTTATATTTCTTTTTTTTTTTAATGGTTTTAGTTTTAGTTATCTATAATAACCCTGATTTATCACTCAGACAAAAAAAATAATAAAATCTAATCAGTGGTCACATGACGCAGTGCTTACCACAGCCTTTCTCATCACTGTTGTCGTTGCAGTCGTCATTCCTGTCACACACCTCGCTGAGAGGTATGCAGTTTCCGTTGTCACACCGGAAGTTTCCGGGAGGGCAGGTGGGCGCTGGAGTCCTGCACAGGTGATCCAGCTCATCAGATTCATCCCCGCAGTCGTTGTCCCCGTCACAGACGAAATCGCGCGAGACGCAGCGGCCGTTCTGACAGGTGAACTGATGCTGTTGGCACGGCTGATAGGTGCAGCCCTGCTCATCACTGCTGTCTCCACAATCATTACGACGGTCACACCTTACAGACACAACACACACAGCAGGGAATTATGGGAGAAATTGCTCTTTTTCACTGGAATCAATCACCAAAACAAAGTTTTGTATAAACGCTGCAAACTAATTTAGAATTTAATTCATAAAGCTATGAACATATAAAAAAAGAGTGCTGTCTTTCACAAATCAAAATAGAAATAATAAATCAAAATAAACTAAAATAAATATTAATTACAATTAAAATAAAACAATGCATTTATATTATTATTATTATCGAATTTCACCCTCTTTCATAAATAAAAAATAAAATAATACATGAAAATAAATCAAAATGATTAAATGATTAAAATTATTATTAAAATAAAAATGAATTACATTTAATACAATGCATTATACAATATATACAATGCACAATGTAATGCATTTATTATTATTATTATTATTATTATTGAATTTCACCCTATTTCATAAATAATAAATATTAAAATAAGTAAAAAAAAATTTTTTAAATTACAATTGAAATAATACAATGCATTTTCTATGTTTATAATTATTAATAATAATAATAATAATAAATTATTAATGTTACTGATAATAATACAAATAATTCACAATGTTTATCTCTTTGTACTTTATTACGACGTACAAAAAATAACACAATATTTAAAAATCGGTTCTGCATATCAGTTACCAAACACAAACAAAAAAATTGGTATCAGACATAAAAAACAATATCTGTCAATCTATTCCATCTCTTGCAATGCATCTGCAACCTTTTTTGATTTAGATGTGATTCTAACCTGTAGGAGTTACGGATGCAGAGGCCGTTGTTGCAGGTGAACTCGTTGGCGGAGCAGGATCTGCGAGTGCAGTTCTGGTGCTCATCGTACGCGTCCGAACAGTCTGCGTCTCCGTCACACACCCAGTCCCGTGGGATACACTTCCTCTGAGGAGGCCTGTTATTTATACAGGTGAACTCCTGAGGAGAGCAGGTGCGGTTTGCTGCGTGCGTGTGTGAGACAAAACAAGAGGACAGAATCAAAAATTATACATTTTGGTAACAACTTGTTTTGACCAGATTCTAGTGCATCCTTCATGTAGAAGACAATACTATAATGGTTTTGTGAAATAGTTTGTCCAAAAAGTGAAAGTAATGTAGAATATATTAAATCATATTTTATATGTAGACTACATAAACAAATTAATAAGTATTATTAATAATAAATAATTTTCATATTAAACATTTCAAATACTAAATATACATTATTTAACAATTAATCAGTGAAAAGTTTGTCCAAGACAGCCAAAGAAGTGAGAGTAATGTAGACTATATCAATCATATTAATAATATTTTTCATGTAGGTAACATAAAATAATAACTTTCATTATTTAATAAAATATTAAACATTCATTATATATGTATATATATATATATATTAATTATATTAATAACAAATATTTTCATGCAATGTTGTTGAGCAACATGTTAATGCCGATGTTTAGTGAAAACAAAAGTAAGTCAAATCTTAATATAAATATATCAATATTTTCTCATTATCTAAACTATGCTATCCACATTCCATTTACAGCTCTACACTCTTACTGTATGTCAACAATTACCTAATTTGTATCTATTTTGATTTCTCCTATGGAATTAAATTTGGAGATAAAGAAGGTGATGGTTCAAATGAGAGCTCCATTACGTTACTGATCAGCTATGAAAGAGCAACCTCTGGAGAGAACAGAGAGAGTCTGAGAGCTGATCCAGCGAGAGCAGTCAGCTAAACACATGCACAAAGCAGTGAGTGAGGTGAGGCAGGAGAAATTAGGAATGCAGACTCCTTACACAGAGATCCCACACCCAACCACCAACACTACCTCACTGATGGACTGAGGGAGAGGAGGAGAAGCGATGCAGAGAGGAAGGACTAGAGAAGAGAGGTGATACAAGACTAAATATAGCCAAAAAGTCAAGTATGAAACATGAAACAAGTTGTGTGAGCAGTTTAACACTAGAAATTTCGGTTCAGACGTCAGAGCAGAATTATTGTAAACTAAAACTAAAATAAAAATATTTTTCTTAACAGTAATATGATAAATATCGGATGAAAAACTAAATAAGTAAAAATCATTCAAATTAAAACAATAAATTGCACTCTCTCACTCTCTCTCTATGTATATATATGTGTGTGTGTGGGGCTGTACATATATATACTGTGTGTGTGTGTGTGTGTGTGTGTATATGCAGTCAAACCAAAATTTATTCAGACACCTTCAACATTTAACACATCATCACAGTTTATTCGCTATAGTTTAGAAAATGGTAATAAAATATTACAAGAACTATGTTAAACTGTTAAACTGTGACAGAACAAATTCATATTGATAATGTCAGATAACACTTAAGCAAAACATGGTCAGGTCAAAGTGTCTGAATAATTTTTGGTCCCAAATTTTTATAAATTTTACTGGTAGTCCACTTTATGAAGATTTTGGGGTATAATATGTCACAGTTTACTTTATTTTGCTATCACACACATAAATTAACTATAGTGTCCTGCACCCACTAGTAAAAAATATAAAAAATTATATCTGGTGTCTGTATAATTTTTGGTTTGACTGTATGTATGTATGTATATATATATATATATATATATATATATATATATAATGAGTTTCTCAAACATTGCGTTTCTTGCATTGCATCTGCTGATGTTCTGTGTGTAAACTTTTGGTGGTAAATTCAAAGGGACAAATATTTCAGTAACACATTGTACCAAACGTACATTATGAAATGAGACCTGTGATGGGGGTGGAATCAAATTTGGGTTTGGACCAAGCAATACTGACCACAGTTGTGTCTCTCGTCCTCGTCGCTCATGTCCCCGCAATCATTGTCTCCATCGCAGATCCAGGACGAAGCGATGCACCTTCCGTCATCGCAGCGGAACTGGTCGGAGTTGCAGGTCCTCACCGTGGTGGCTGTAGGGATCAAACACACAGCAGTGAGCCACGGATCAAGAAGCAGCAGAAGAGCGACCTGCCCGAGGGCCATGTCTCACTCAGATCTCAGAGGGAACTGAGGAAAATGCGGCCTACGTAATCCATTTAACCATTAAACCCATCCTGAGCAGCCAGAAACGTGGCTGGGCTGCTGCTTGGATTCCACAGGCAGAGGAATTCTGGGAGAGAATAAGCATTCCTCTCTCTAGTGTCCCGCTTGAACAAAAGGCACCGAGGGGTGCTGTGATTAACGGGACAAAAGCGAGAGGATGGTGCTGTGTGTGTGAGAGGAGGGGGCAACGATTGTCAAAGGAAAGGCCGGTGTGTGTGTGTGTGTGTGTGTGTGTGTGTGAGGGCTTTTCTGCTGGACGTCACTTTGGAGGAATGTGACACACAATAGAGGGCCGAACTGACCGCTGGCATCACAGACACACACCAGACAGTTACAGACACTTCAGATACCACTGAAATGTCTTTCAGAAGAGCAAATCTTTCTCCTTTTATGGTAGTTTCTTGTATTGTTATGTTATCTTACTAGTTTATCATATTGCACCCAAAAAATTATTTTGCTTGTGCTGTAGTTATAATACTTTATTTATATGGTTTATTTCTACAGTATATGGGTATATTAGACTTTAAAGCTTTTTTAGCATTAAAAAAATCCCTATAAATTACTTATTAAAATATATTTACAAGAAAAACTGCTTAAAACATTTTGGTTTGAAATTCCAAATTCAGTTTGAAAAAAAAAAAAGTGATCTAAAAAAATGGATGTACCAAAAAAGAAAACCCTATTTTCACTACCAATTATCTAACACAATGCAATTCTACAATTTTGTAGAATGTATACTTTGTAGAATGTATACTTTTATTCGGCAAGGATGCAATAAATTGATCAAAAGTGACAAAAGATATTTATAATGTTATAAAAGATTTGCATTTCAAATAAATGCTGTTCTTTTAAACATTCTACTTATCAAAGAATCCTGAGAAAACAATGTATCACAGTTTCCACAAAAAAATATGAAGCAGCACAACTGTTTTTAACATTGATAATAATAAGAAAAGTTTCTTGAGCAGCAAATCAGCATATAAGAATGATTTCTGAAGGATCATGTGACACTGAAGACTGGAGTAATGATGCTAAACATTTAGCTTTGCATCACAGGAATAAATTACTGTTTCAAATATTTATTTGATTAAATAAATGCAGCCTTGGTGAGGAAAAGCGACTTTTTAAAAAAATATTTAAACATTTTACTCACCCCAAGCTTTTGAACAATAGTATATGATATCCAATATAATACACTATTCCCAAAACTTTTTTGGGAACATCAATTGTTTTTTCATTTTAAGTATGTATTAAATTAATGGATGCAAACAAAATTATAAAGCAAAACCTTATTGTACCTTATTGATGTAAGGGTCTAAACATTATAAATCAAACGTATTTGTTTAGTGATTTTGTTCTTTTGTGAGGGCATTTTACCACAGACATGCTGGTCTGAATTACTACATTTTAATTCTGTTTCTGCCAACTGAACCGATTTCTTGTACACAATGTTTGCCTTATCTTTCCACTTTTTGACTGCATGCATCACCAGTGGAGCGTAACATGAAGGATGGGGGATGACATCATTTCCCGCCAATTTGCCTGTGCCAGACATGAAGTCCTTCACCATGGTAACCAGTGAGGCAGGCTACCCATCATTAACTCACCACCCAAAAACATGGCCAACGGTTTCCCTTGATAAACACAGCCTTATCCTCACATCACAGTGTTTTCATAGTTTCCCCAGTGAGGTGGTTCAAACAGGGTCCAAAATTAACTTTTTCACACATAAGTACACAATGACTTAATGCTCGCTGCCGACTCAGGAAAGGGTGCCATTTTGATTCTCCTTGACCTTATGGCAGCATTTGACACGATTGATCACAACATCCTTTTAAATCGATTAAGTCAATGGGTTGGCATTTGGGGAAAGGCTCTCAAATGGTTCTGCTCTTACTTAAATGACAGAAGTTCTGTAGTTCAGTTGGGCAATTACTTCTCTGATTCTGCAGCTTCTTTTTGTGGGGTTCCCCAGGGATAAATTTTGGGGCCCATTTTGTTTTCTTTATATATGCTTCCGCTCGGTTCTATCTGTCGAAAATACAATGTTGCATAACATTTTTATGCAGATGATGCACAACTTTATCTTCCACTGAAAGCAGGTGATCGTGATGAGTTAGGTGATCTGATGTCTTGTTATCATGAGATTAAGCTATGGATGGCGCAGAATTTTTTTAAGTTAAATGAGGCTAAAACAGAATGCCTAATAATTGGCTCTATTACACCGTCTTCACATATGTTAGCCGGTTAGCCTATTAAAATTCCTATTAAAGGTCCCTAAATCCCGCTTAAAGTCCAAAGGAGACCGTGCGTTTTCGTTTGTGGCACCCTGCTTCTGGAATGACCTGCCATTGGAAATTAGATGTTGTACATCAATAGGTCATTTTTAAAGCACTTTTTAGAGGGCACTTACTTGCCTGGGCATTTGGTGTGAGCTAGTTGGTGCATATTTGATGGTCTTGTGTTTTAGTGTTTGTCATGTTGTTTTTATGTTTTTGCTGTCTTAGTTCTGGTTATTCTGTTTTATATGTTGTTCTATTGGAAAGCACTTTGGTCAGCATGAGTTGTTTTTAAATGTGCTATACAAACAAACAAACAAACAAACATATACTGAATGAACACCAGATAACTCGAGAAAATATACTGGTGTACATTTATTTTTTTTTTATTTGAAACTGTATATTGTTATGTGTGGTACTTACTACAGGTAATGGGCTCATCAGAACCATCATTACAGTCTGTACCACCATCACAGTACCAGTGTCCAGGAATGCAGCGTCCACTCGAACAGCGAAACTCATTCTGGGAACATGTAGATGTGGCTGAGGAGTGAAGAACACAAGCTCGGTCAGAGATAAACCAACAGATGAGGGTTAAATCAATCAGTCAGCCTCAAACGGCAGACATGGGTCATAAACATTAAGGAGAACGGGCTCCAAACTTCTACCAAACTGAAAACCCAGAAATGGCCCAGATGGACCCGCTCACATACATGGTTCACTAATTTAACTGAAATGTCAGGAAGGGCAAGTTGAGCAAAACTTTGGCTCAAAAAGCAACAGGAAATTATTTCTGTTAAACAGTTACTCATCTATTTCCACTCTAAAGGAGAAACAAACAACTAAAATATTATTATTCTACATTTTTGTCATTCTTACAATTATATCACATATTTATTTATCTGTTAATTTATTTATTTATTTGATGGTTTTTTTCTACCTTTTATGTCAGTATCATTTAATATTTTTAAATACCGTTACAGTTTTTTTTATAATATATTGATCAATTATTGATTGAATAATCTAAATTATTGATCAATAATTTCACCATCAATTTAGTTTCATCAAAAAGTCATCAATACTTTTTTTTTAAAATTTTGTTATGTGCTTTTGTAATTTTTATTAGTTTTTTTAAATGGTACTATTTACATTTCATTTATTTAAATTCTAGTTTTAGATCTAGTTTTAGTTTTTAATTAATTTAATTAATTTCCAGTTATTAATTTTAGTGCTTTAAGTATTTCTGTCACGGGTTCTGTTTGATTTTGTTCTATTTCTGAGTTTAGTCTGTCAGTATTAATTTCCATGGTTATTAATTTGATTCTCTATTTGCCTCCTGAGTTCCCTAGTTTGTTCCCTTATTTAATAATTAGCCCCTCACCTGTTTCTGTTCTGCCTGATTATGTTCCCAGTGTATATAAGACCTGTATTTGCCTCAGTTTCCTTATCTTGCGTTAATTTTGGTTAATGTTGTATAGTGTTAGTTGACTCCAGTGTTTTCCAGCGTTTCCTTGTGAATTCTCTATTAAAGACTCTGTTTTGGATTATACTCCTTCGCCGTGTGCTTATCCTTAACAGCACGTTACAATTTCAGTTAGTTGCCAAGATAACATTTCTAATTTTCATTTAGTTGAAGTTTTCATCTAATCATTTGTGACCCTGGAGCACAAAACCAGTCTTAAATCACTGGGGTATATTTGTAGCAATCGCCAAAAATACATTGTATGGGTCAAAATGATTGATTTTTTTTTTATGCCAAAAATCATTAGGATATTAAGTAAAGATCATGTTCCATGAAGATATTTTGTAAATTTCCTACTGTAAATATATCAAAACTTAATTTTTGATAAGTAATATGCATTGCTAAGAACTTTTTTAAGAACCAATTTTCTTTCTCAATTTTTTATTTTTTTTTGCACCCTCAGATTCCAGATTTTCAAATAGTTGTATCTCGGCCAAATATTGTCATATCCTAACAAACCATGCATCAATGGAAAGCTTATTTATGTATAAACCTCAATTTCAAGAAATTGACACCTAAGACTGGTTTTGTGGTCCAGGGTCACATTTAATTTAATTTCATTTTATGTGAACATAAATGTTTTTAATAGGTTTAGACACTATGCAACACTATGCAAGTCAATGGGGACCAGACTGAGGACTACCTTTCTGGGCCTTGAATGTCAGTTGCATTGCTGTCTATGCAGGGTCAGAAATCTCTCGGATTTCATTGAAAATATCTTAATTTGTGTTCCGAAGACAAACGGAGGTCTGAGGGGTTTGGAATGACATGAGGGTGAGTAATTAACGACATAATTTAAATTTTTGGGTTAACTATCCCTTTAAGTCATTAATTCATAGCAGCATAGCAACAGATGTAAGAGCAGCTTAACTCATGAAAGTAGTGAACTCACTAAAGCTGAATTTATGAACCGGACCGACCAGGACAGAGGGAGAGGGTGGGACGGGGAAACTCACCACAATGCGTTGGGCTCTCGTCGCTGTTGTCACCGCAATCATTATCTCCATCACACAGGTATGAGCGTGGGATGCAGATGTTGGTGGTCTGACATTTGGTGTGCTCTGGCTGACATGTCCTCTCAGCTACATTTTATACCCAGAAGAAGCCATTATGGATCACTTAAAATTAATTTATGAAAACTATTTTGTATTATATAAATGCTCATAAACTGTAGGCTGTTTATAGTTGACAAACAACCTAGCAACTTGTTTTGGTAACCGTGCAAATGCACTTACCACAGTTCTGCTCATCCGAGGTCCCATTGTCGTAGCAATTGTTTATTCCGTTGCAGACGTATTCCCGTGCAATGCAGCGACCGTTATTGCAGGTGAACTCAGTGTTGGGGTCACAGGGCCGGAACAGGCAGCCGGTCTCGTCACTGTTATCCCCGCAGTCATTGTAGTGATCGCAGCGATAGTGATATGGCACACAACGGCCATTTCCACATGTGAACACTGTGGGCTCGCAGGTGTGAAATGCTGCCATGCACAAATAAGATTCATTTTGACATGCGCAGTAAGAGCTGAATGAATTAACAGCAACTAGTAGAGCTCACTGCCTACCTCCTCTATCTCTCTATTTTATTTTACCTGAGAGTGAAATGAATGCTGCTGCTTGTGGGACTGCATGCGAGAGAGAGTGAGAGAGAGAGAGAGAGAGAGA